CTTACTACATGTCCACTCGATACGCCATCTTGTTTGTTCTCTCCCTCTAAGGTTTTTAATTGCTGATTGTTTAAAAAAGAGATTGTTATGTCATCCTTTGAAGATGCCTGCTGGTGGGCTTGACCCTCCAGCCATCTGATTATTATCCAAGCAGTTCTACATACTTTTGAGTCTCCTCCCCACCTGGAAATAGGAATAAGGAATAACTGTAGCTAGAGTTTATTGAGGACCAACTCAGTACCAAGTGCTGTGTTGACATTCACACAGATCTTACTACTCAGTCCCCACAGTACCTTGTTACATAGCAGGTGGTATCCATATTTACAGGTGAGCAAAGGGCTCAGGGAGATTTAATAACATTTTCTCAGACATAACTAGAAAGTGGCAGCGTCAGGTCTATGCACCTTCACTATGCTGAATTTACTCCCAAAATTTACGAAGAGAGAAGGGAGACTTTTAAAATGTTTCTTCGTTCTGATTTACCTGATTGGAAGTTCTGACTATGGACAGAACAGTTAATACTCTTCTGCTTACTCTTAATATATCTGGATATTATTGATGATTTTGCTGTAAGTGCCACCTTATTTCTGTTTACGTAATAACAGTGATTCAAGGCTTGTTGTGTGACCTTGAGTCAGTTCTGATTCCTAATGATCTGGCAGTTAAGGTAAAATTGGTTTACTTTGGGGTGATTGGTATTATATTTAGTAATGTAATTTTTTTTTTTATGTGTTTTAGTGCCTGTAATTCATCAAGTAGCCTAAATTGGAACTCTTCGCATTTTGACAATGAAACCGAACCTGATGCATATAATATAGAAAATTATGAAAATACCACACTGTTTTTTATCTCCAGTTTTCAGTACCTCATAGTTGCTATTGCCTTTTCCAAAGGAAAACCCTTCAGGCAGCCTTGCTACAAGAATTGTAAGTCTATAGCATTGATTTGATTTTCACTGCCCCTCATTTAAAAAGTAATGTTGAAGAATACAAATTATAAATGTTGCTACAGAATAGAATAAATCTTTGCAAATGCAATGAGTTTAATGACTTTTAAGTGTTAACTGTAATAGTTTATTCTCATGGTATTTCCATCTTAGTTTTAATGTTAGTCAGCAGTGCTTGTCACATTCTGTTCCTCTGGCTCCAACTTTGATTTCTAGCACCATTTTCAAGGACGTAGGAATTGAAAGCAGAAACAGAGGTTGTCAAGTATCTTCCCTCTCACTCAGCGGACTCGGTGGCTTATAGTTTAATTTGTGTGATTTTCTTGACTGTTATTGCTAGTATTCACCTGGAAATTTTCATTTCTCTCACCTTTAAATGCCACTGCAGAAGGGGCAGTAGAAAAGAAGGGAAGGAAGAAAGTATATATGCATAGTTTTTGTACAGTTAAGGATTTAAAAAACAAAAATTGATTTACAAAAAAGCTGTAGTACACTTTTACAGTAGGACCAGCCATACTCTGATGGTAGCTAGCACCGGAATTTTAAAATTGTGAATAATTTTGATGTGT